TCACTTGAGCTGAAATTGGTGAAGCAATGAGGAGAATAGGAGGAACGAAGAATAGTCACATGGAGATGCAGTGGCGGTGTCCACTTATTAATTAGTTAGCTATTAAAGACTATGGGTTGAAGTCTGCCAGAGCAGCCTTGAGGATCAATGAAATATGCTTAATCCCCATCACGGCCTCAGGATCTGGGCTACCTGAACTTGCTGTGAGGTTTCTAACACCAACTTTTCTGAGTGAAAAAACACTTCTCTCTCACAAAGCTCAAGAAAAAAGTAAAAATTCCCTGTCCTGGTTTTGTAAGAAGAAGCAACGCCATGTGTACCTTTTGCTTACAGTGGTAATCTCATTTTATTTAGTTAGTTAGGTATGTATCTATCCATATCTGTACAGACAGGTTTTTTTCAGGGCTATTGCTTTGTTTCCTTTCCCTAAAGCTGCAGTCAGACACTCTCTCCCCTGTGTTTTTGGTTGGACTAAGCTCAAACGAGGTGGTCCCATCCCATAGAAAGCAAATTATATTTGCTCTAGAAAACCAGGGGGTTTGTCTTGGGAGGGATCATCTGCTTAGTGGTGTCTACAGCCCAGTGATGCTGTCAGAGACACATCCATTCAGCCATTCCAGGTAGTTTCATTAGGAGAAACTGTAACACTGGATTTGCATTGTACTAGCTAGTTGTTCTGCTGTATGTGTTCTGGTGCTTCGAAGTTGTCTTCATCCTCTATTGGTGTGTGTCCTGCATATATTACCCCCCTGTGAACAGTTCATGTGTTCAGTAACAGGGGAGTTGTGTTTCAGTCTTCTCTATCACGGACATGTTTCTTTCCTGTACCACTCACATGGAAAATCTTGGAGTTTTCCATATCAATTTTCATGTTAGAAACTGAAGATTCCAGTAATTGATGTATCTATGTTCCTTTCAGGCCAGAAAGTGCTAATAACAGAAGACTTGGAAGATGTCACTGTGTTAGAAGGAGAATCTGCCATGTTCAAGTGCAGAATCTCTCCTGTAGACTATAGCAGAGTGCAGTGGTTTTTGGATAAAACCCCACTCCATACCAATGAACTTAATGAGATCCAGTCTCAGCCTGGTGGATATCACTTGCTAATGTTGAAAAAACTCTCACTGAAGGACTCGGGGGTCATTACATTTGAAGCTGGTGATAAGAAAACTTCTGCCAGTTTGGTTGTTAAAGGTAATTCCATCATAACAACTGCAGAGAGGAAAGAATGCGTAGAAATAAGTATGGGTTAATGTGGGTAGGGGAAAAAAAAGGACAAAAATGCTACAGATTTGGCCCTGTCATGTGTATACCTGTATATGTTCAATAACAGCGTTACCTGTGTTGAAGCTAGGGCATGAATGCTTTGTAATCCTGGACAACTCTCAGTGTCTTTATTTGACCTTAGATGGGAATATTTTACTGTAGCGATGGTGCATTGGATGCCTTGTCCGGTTTTCCTTCATCCAAGCTGATAGGCTGATGATAAATGAGGAAAAATCAGTTAGTTCAAGGGGAAAAAAAAAGTGCAACCAATAAGTTTTTAATTTAATTTTCATTGTTTGACAGGCAACGTTATGTGTGTTCTCTGCCGTTGTTGCCAATGAACTGTCTCCGGAGTAGTTAAACTGAATTAAAACTGTGGTATTATTCCAATTCTGTAGCGAGGGAATAAGGTGCTTGAGTGCAGGATCAGAGAGATGTTTTCTTACTGGAAACGTAAATATTTCTTGTTGCCCAGAGATGTAAAACACACAGTCTCCACTCTGTCAGGTCACGTTCTCATTCTTTTCAGTATCACCACTTGTCTTGCAAGGAACTTTTTATTTTCAAAATGTGAAAAATTACCTACATTTTGCCATGCTACAGAAATGCAAACATATTTAAATTATTTTTTTCTGAAGGCAAATGAAAAGTCTTATTTGCAAAAGGTTGATTCTTTTTGGTAATGCTAACAATTGATGCTGTAGTACCAAACCCGTGTTTTGGTCTCCTGGTTGATTTGGTTATTTACGGCTCAAAAAGCATTAAGCTAGGGGAGATAAGATCTACCTTGGCCAATTTAGCTATTGGTGTCTAGTTTAGGCTATTTCTAGAAGCTGTGTAGAAAGACAAGCACTTCCAGGGAGCAGTTCTCCTCTCTGTCCTAACAACCTACCTTGGAAGGCAATATCTACTCTCTGGAGGTGTCTGTCATCTTCCAGAGCCTACGGAGACACCCTACACAACCAGTCTGGGCTATCTGCCTGGTTTTTAGAGGACTCATACTGGTGAAATGAGACCTGCTCTAGATGACTGGCTATGAGAAACCTCTATTGCATCTCACTTCATGCAGAATTAACTTTTCCACGTTGAGTTAAAATTCTCAAACATATATTTTACGTGGGAAAGGTCTTAGGAAGATCGTATCTCCATCTTGTTTGTGTGTAGTGAGATGTGAGAGGGATCTTTCTTACGCTCTTCAACGGGATATTGTCTTCTCCGTTTCCCCCAGATGGTGTTAGGTATCTACTAAACAACACTTTATGGCATGTCACTGCTGCCTTCCTTAGGGCTTTATAGCCATGAACACCAAATCATTTGTTACTAACCTTGACCTGTAATTTTTATACAAGTAATCTTGGATGTAAATCTGAAAATCCCCACCTCTTCTGAAACATCTCAGACGGTTTTTATGTGATTCTAGAGAAGCCCTGCATCTTCAGAAAGGAGCTGGTTGACACTGAACTCACTGAGGGAGAGGATGTGGTCCTTCACTGTGAAACCTCCAAATCAGACAGCCCTGTAACGTGGTGCAAAGACGGGAAGAGCCTTAGGAATTCTTCCAAGTATAACATCAGCCGGTCGGGATTTGAAGCCAAGCTTGTCATTCACAGGGCAGAAGAAAGAGACAGTGGCAGATATGAGTGTGAGGCTGGAGCAGCTAAAAGTAGTGCGGTTATTACTGTCAAGGGTAAGAACATTTGGAGTGACGGTTTGAGTCCTAACTCGGCATCTAACACCGAGTAATAAATGAGAAAAACGTGGAACTGTCTTGAAAAGGAACCTCATGTCTTTGCACCACAGTGCAGGAGAGGTTCTCATCACGTCATCCGGAACAGCACCCAGAGAGGTGACAGAATGGGAAACAGGGAAATCCTTCCTGTTACGTGGTTTTAGCTCTGTGAAAGTTAAGTGCCTAAGCTGTGCAGAGTAGAGAGCGAGGGGTCAGTCGAGGACAGTGGGTATCTCTGCAGGAGATACACCCAGCCTAAGAGCCAATCCAGAGAGAGGATGAATCACATTCTGAAGCTGTCTCCACTGATGGCTTTCTCTGAGGAATCACAGAACGGTTTGGGTTGGAGGGGACCTTAAAGCCCCCCCAGTCCCACTCCCTGCCATGGGCAGGGACACCTTCCATAGTCCAGGGTGCTCCAAGCCTCATCCAGCCTGGCCTTGAACACTTCCAGGGATGGGGCATCCACAGCTTCTCTGGGCAACCTGTTCCAGTGCCTCACCACCCTCTGCGGGAAGAATTTCTTCCTGATATCTAATCTAAACCTCCCCACTTACAATTTAAACCTGTTACCCCTTGTCCTGTCACTATAGGCCCCCCTAGCTTTCTTGTTGCCCCCCCCAGGCACTGGAAGGTGCTGTAAGGTCTCCCCGGAGCCTTCTCTTCTCCAGGCTGAACACCCCAACTCTCCCAGCCTGTCCCCATAGCAGAGGTGCTCCAGCCCTTGGAGCATCTCCGTGACCTCCTCTGGACCTCCTCCAACAGCTCCATGTCCTTCTGCTGTTGGGGGCCCCAGAGCTGGATGCAGAACTGCAGCAGGGGTCTCATAAGAGCAGAGTAGAGTGGGAGAATCCCCTCCCTCGACCTGCTGGTCACGCTGCTCTGGATCCAGCCCAGGATACAGTTGGAAGGTCACACACCCACATCTGTCTGGGTAACTTCTTTAGGCAGCCAAGCTTATTGAGAGTAATGCACCCAAAGAGCGTGATCAGGCAGGAGGTGCTGTCTAGAGGGTGGTTGTCTGAGCTGAAGCAAAAGTCCTCTTTTTAGACACATGACACTTCAGTGTATTTCCCTGAGCATGCTGGATAAGCACCAAGTATGTGAGGTAAGCATTGGGTCCGAGCCTTGTCAGAACCAGGCTCATCTGCTCCTCATGTTTATAATCACTCCCGCCTGTCTTGAGTCATTGCCCCAGCCCAAGACTGAGGAGGAGCTCAGCTTCAGTGAGTGAAACCACTCCTTCACACGGACAGGTTTAAGCAGGCACAGACTGGGGTAAGCCTGACCCGTGGGCATCCTGCACCCAGCTGTTCGTAACACCCTTGGGAAGGGCAAACATGAAGCTACACCTGAATTAGAGAAGCCAGTGTGAACAAAAATCATTGGCGTTGCTGGAATAGTCAACCTGAACCTCAGAGCATGAAGAGAGAACGCAAGGCACTCAGTATTTATCTGGAGTGCAAAGAAACAAGCCAATTTAAGGCTGTTTGCTGTGCAGGGGAGGAGAGGATGTGATGAAAAAGAGAGGTGACGGTTAATGGTTCAGTTTTGTTATGTCTTTCATTAGTACTAGGATGTTTTCCTAATAGCTGTTACATAAAAAAGGAAGATCTGCATTGACTTTAGTAGGACCTGAATCTCATCCATGATGAAAAGGAATTTTTCTGTTAGAAAAAACCTCACTCATGAGTGTTAGACAACATCTCCAATTTTCTCTTCACAAAGAAAGGTGTGGATGGATGTAGGATTTAAACGCACGGATTCAGATCACCAGTAGGTGTGAAGGAGTCGAGTCATAATGATGCCTGCAACAAATCACACTGCTGTAGCTTTCCTTTATCTGTTAGGGTCACATCAGAATGGTCTGTAGCCATGTGTTCCAGTGTCCTAAACTAGAGGTAAAAGGGGAAGAGAATAGGCTGTACTTTTTCAACAGCCACAGGACAACTGCATCACAAATCAGTAGCTGATTTGCATATTTGTAGGACAGCATAAGCCAGGAAGAAATTGTTGGGTTTTTTCATGAGCTGAGGGGAAAACGCTTCAGTTGAGGCTTTTCTTCCCAATAAATTCCTTCTCTGCACTAGCCCACCTTAAAGCCTTGAATCCCAGGCTGTGACAGAGCCTGCATAGGGGTCTCCACAGGGACCCTTTCATGTACAGCTGTGCTTTCCTCTCTCTGTTTGTTCTGTGCTGTTTCTAAGTCTGTGTTCATGTCTGCTAAAAATATGTTGGGGTTTTTTTTTTATATCGAGAAATCAACACTGCTGCTAATAACAAAGTGCTTTGCCATTTTTTCATGTCCTCTGTGTTATGTGCGAGTTGACCCCAGTCAAGTTTTACAGTGTTTGTGCCAGTGGCCTGGCTCTGACCACCCATCTGCAACACGCTGTGTCATTAACAGCAGTGCTGCTCATGTTAATGATGGCTGGAGTAGCAGCAACGTCTTCAACAGGACAGACAGTGGTTAAAAGGAAAATAAGCATATGGTCTCAAATACTATTTTTTTTTGCTGCTGTAGAGTGCTGGCAGGCAGATGTGAGTTGTCAGAATTGGTTTACTATTTGTTAGTGCTTTCCCATTCCTGTGGTTTTCTGTCTGAATCACAAAGTCTGATAAAAAAAAGATAAAATAATTTCCAATCTCTTGTGTTTCCTTCAACATTTTCAATATCCTTTTTCAGAAGCACCTGTTAGTTTCAAGCAAGAGCTCCAAAATGAAGAAGCTAAAGAAGGAAAGCAAGTCAAGCTGACCTGTGAGCTCAGCAAACCTGATACCCCAGTGAAATGGATGAAGGGAAACACTGTTCTCTGTGCCAGCGAGAAGTACGAGTTTAAGCAGCGTGGTTCCGTGGCGGAACTCATTATTCGAGATGTCAAACCGATAGATGCTGGGGACTACACCTGCAGCACTGGGGAGCTGAAGACCACTGCTCGGGTGAAAGTAAATGGTAGGCAGTTAGATGCATTGCCATGCTTTCTTAACCTGTTACTTAATGGACCACAGAGCACTTTGTGACAGTGCCATCTACAAATTCATAGGAAAAAATTAACTGTAAAATTGCATAGAATCATAGAATGGTTAGGGTTGGAAGTCCTCTCCCAGCACCCTTGTAGGCCCCCTTCAGATACTGGAAAGCTGCAATGAGGCCTCCTCTTCTCCAGGCTGAACAAGCCCAATTCTT